CAAGTGCATCCTCCTAAAAGCAACGTGGCCCAGCCTGAGGCCGGCAAAGGGGCACTCCTGGGCCGTCTGGGATGGCCCGGGCTTGCCCTGTAGGCTGGGGTGTCCACACAGGGCTCAGGTTGGACTTGGCAAGGTTGGGAAGAGATACAGCAGCCCCCGCTGCACATCGAGCCTAACTGCAGCAGCAGCAAGGACTTCACGCGCCTGGGCTCACTCCCGCCCATGGCCCGGCCCTCCTGCAAGTACTGCTCTGTGCACAGACAAGGAGACCAGCTCGGAGAGGCTAAGCAACTTGCTCAAGGTTGCACAGCGAGACATGGTGGTGGGCCTTCGGGTCGAGGAGCCTGGGCTCCTGTCATCACTCTCTGCACCTGCCAAATCCTGGTGCTGTACCCTCAGCCCAGCGCTCATCACACTCTCGCATTCAGTGGCCACATAGAGGCCTCCTCACCTCCTCTGGCTGGGTTTGTGTTCTTCAAAGGCCGCGGTGTGTGACCCCAAGACTGGAGCCACGTGGTCTTATAGGTCTCCTTAGTGGACATGGAGGGCTGAGCCCTGTTTCCATCAGATTGCACCTTTCAATGGGCTTTTGCCATAAGGCCAGGGTGCAGAGCCATGGTAATAAAGCCCAGCCATGTGATCATGCCAGCCACCATGGCTCCCACTGGCCCAGCCAGTTCTGCTGAGCAGCGATGCCACTCCAACTGTCCACATGCTGCTGGCTACAAGCCACCTCCATGGCAGCTTCTGCCGTGCCGGCCAGAACCACCTATGCCAAGCTTAGGTGCTGCCCTTCCAACCTACTGCCTTACAGGCCAACATCTTCCAGAGTTTTCCATGAGAACAACTCTTTGTCTCGTATGCCCGTCGTAGGGACCCTCAGAACCAGGGCACAAAACCAGGGAACTCCTCAAGGCTCAGGACTAGGCTGTGTCAAGCTGGATCCTTCTGCTCCAAGTGACCAAGGCAAACCAACAGCAGAATTTAACCTATTCACAGTTATTGTGATTAACGGCATGGCATGTTCAAACTCCCTCCCACATCTTGTTTTATACTTCCCTATTTTCTCTTTCTTTTCCAAATGTTCCCTGGATTGAGTGAGCTGTCCGGGTAGGAATGCACAGAGAACTGACAGTTCTTTCAGATGCTGCCTGTTTTCAGCAGGGGCACTGTGTGACCACAATGGCTACAGGAGATGCAGCTTGCTGGTCTACCTGTCAGTCTCCAGTTCATTCTACATGGGACCTCAGAAACAGGACTTACCCTGTGGACTAAGTCCCTGCAGATCTTACCGTATCTTAGAAAGCAGAGAGAGGGTACACTGGGATAGAAGAAAACCACAGGCAGAAAACATATCTTGGGGACACACAGGATGAAGAATTGAGATGAATGCCTTAATTTTCTACTCCAGACAAGTGAAGCAGGACACAGAAATAAAACGTGAAAGAACACAGCACCAAGGGATGTGAACAGGTCTGAGATTCTAGAGGGACCAGCAGGTGGCATAATGGTTATGTTGCTGGACTCCCACATAGTTGACCAGTTTGAGTCCCAGACCTGAGGGCTAAAACTCACATCAGGCACATGTGCATGCATGACCAAAATCCCCAAAGGAGAATGGAGAAAGAATTGCAGCATGGCCATCCCCTCAGGGGATGATTTCTCGCTTTCTGTCCCACTCTCCAGTGAGTGTACACACCCTATAGCAAAAATCTCTTACATTAAGAGAAAAAGGAAAGAAAGAGAGAACCTAGAAACAGCCCTGTGTCAGCACTGGGACTTCCCCCCAGTTTACAGTCAGAACTGCCTCCTCTGTAGCCAAGAGACAGACGGGCAGCAGACCTAAGGTTTTCCATGCATACAGCCAGTTCTTCCACTTCCAGCAGCTCCCTCACCTCCCTCACCTGCACAGACATCAATACATGGTACCCCTAAGTTTTCTCTTAAGCCCGTCACCTGACACCGTGACTCAGCTCACCACATGTAGCCACATGTGCACACGCACCTGCTCGTTCTATGCCTGTGACCTTCTCCCTGCCTTCGCGACACAGCACAGTGCTCTCCTCTCCATTCGCTCCAGTGGCTCCCGACTGTGTGGAACCCGTGCCCTTCCCCTGAAGCCCCCGTGTGAGTGACTGTGGCTGGCTCGGCAGACTCTGCCAGTGTTCTGAGTCACAAAACACAGGAAAACCCTCTATCCTAGGAAAACACATACACCCACATACACATGCAGCTTCACACACAATTTAAGAAGGCTCTAGACCATCCTGGAAGCCATCTACAGACCCAAGGTTTAAAAAATAGGGGCCAGGGAACCAGCAGTTAGCGTAATGGCTATGTCGCTGGACTCCCACGTAGTCGACCGCGGCTCGCATCCCGGACCCGGTGGCTTAAAACTCAAGCCGGGCGCGTGTGCGTGCATGCCCAAGATCCCGAGAGAATGGAGGAGAAGGGATTGCGGTATGACCATACCCCCTGGGGGGTGATTTCTCGCTTTCTGTCTCTATGTCTCTCTCTGTCTGGTGAGCGCACGTGCCCTATAGCGAAAATCTCTAAAAAAAAAAAAAAAAAAAAAAAAAGGAGCCAGCAGGCAGCACTGTGGTTAGGGTTCTGGACTCCCACATGGCCAACCATAGTTTGAGTCCTAGACTCAGCGGCTTCAAAGTCAAGCCAGACGCATGTGGAAGGGTGCCCAAAATCTCTACAGAAAATTGGAAAAGGGGTTGTGGCATGGCCATCCCCTAGGGGTAATCTCTCACTTTCCCTCTCTATCTCTGGTGAGCCCACATGCCCTATGGCAACAACAACAACGGAAGAGAACACTCTAAATACAACCCCCACCCTAACTCGTGATGCACAGGAGGCCTGCCCCAGGGCCAGCAAAGGGCAGTGAGCAAGCCCGTCTGCAGGAGTAGGTACGGGACGTGGGGCCGGCAGGGCGCAGTCTATAAAGCGTAGAAATACTCCTAAAAATAAGAGACGTTTCTCCGTGCTGTTACCAGGTCGCCGGGAAGGTCCTACCAATCGTTTGTTTTTCTACGCAAAAATGCACCGTGCCTTTCCTGACGGCCAGTATTTTACGTGCTCTTCTGCATCTGCCGAAGTCTGAATAGAAGAGCTCCACCTTCACTGAGATCTGGGCCCGCCCTCTCTGGCATGTGCAAGCACAAGGCCCCAGGGTCTTTGGATTTGTTTGTGTGTCTCTTAATACTTCAAAATGTATTACGGGATAATGAGAACCCCAGGACCCCTAAGCCTTTGTCTCCTTAGGCCCTAAAATTAGCCAATGATGCTCTCCAGAAGGGATAACACAGCTACCCCAGGACACCCTGTCCCTGGGTTTGGAGACACTGCCAAACCAGCCAGCCGGCCGGAGAAAGGGTGGCACTCTCCCAGTCTTTCTGCATGGTCCTCGGGCAGCGGCCTCCCTCTCCGGAGGGCTCCTCCATTAATCCGGCTTACCCCTCTATCCACAGAGTGCTGTCAAAGCACTCTGTCCTGCCTGTCTCCACGAGAAGCCCGGGCCTATGAGCATCCGACTCTGGTGGCACCTTGTGGTCATCAAGGGTCTACCCGAAGCCCCGCATCTTCACCCCACCGTCTGGGCCCCTTTCTCTTCCGCTCCCTTCTTGCTGCAGACTAGCCTGGGGGAGCTGAGCACTCCGTCTCTGATCTCGTACCACCGCAGCGATGTGGCCCTCGCCAGCGCCCACCACAGTGCTCAGCAGGACAAGGCCATGGGACCCTCTTCCTGCCAGGTTGCAGGCAGCAGCCCCTCCTGATGTTACACAGCAGCATGGAGGGCCAGGCCCTGTTGTGCTTCCTCGTGGTGGTCTCCCAACTACTGGGTACGTTTTTTCAAAACCATTTTATGGGTGAGAAACTTGAGGTTCAAACACACTAAGCCAGCCGAAGGGCAGAGGAAGTGTCCTTGCGCCTTCCCGTCCCCTGCCCTCGGTCTAACCCTCACCCTGACTCAGCTCGGCGGTGCCGGTGCCTGTGGTGCCTGCTCTCCATGTTGTCTCCTTCTGTCAGATTCCTGAGAACCACAGCCAACTGCAAAGACAGACTGCTTGGGTGAGTCATTTTCAATCTTTTAGAACAGAACCAAGCATTAGAAGCCCCCCGGATATGACTGGCCAAGCTCACAAGACACAGAAGGGTCCCTCTCCCCCGTCCAGGTGACCTGCACCACCTCATCGGAAAGCTGGACTGCCATTCAGAGTCGTCCTAGCTTACAGATGCATCTGAGCCCCCAGGCTAAAGGCGGTGATACCATCCCTGACTGTCCTTCCCCACCCCCATCCCAGCAGATGCCAGGAATGACCCGACCGCTGCTGACCTCTCATCTCTACCGGTTCATAGCAGAGGGCTCTGGGCTGCTCCCACTCAGTGGTGGGACCGGAACAGACTTGTCCCTCAAAGCGGTCAGTGCCAGAGCCTGGGTTCTGTCAGACTGCCGTGTGTGCATGGCCTGGCTAGAGAACCCGATGTCTCCCCAGGAGCAGGCTCTGGACATCAGGGACGAGAGCCCAGCAGTTCGCATGGAGGCGATGCTCACAGGTACCAGGCAGGACACCGCCATGAGCCAGTGGTCACACAGGGGACACACATTAGTTAATGTTGGTAAAAGCCTGTTGGTTTTTCTTAGAAGAGCAGGACGAGGGAAGCTCGGGCTCGCACTCTCCCCCCCTAGACAGGCATGCTTTCCCGGCTGGCCAGAGCGGGTTCTTCCCCCAGTTTATCCCTGCCTGACCTAGGACCTGCTGCTCACGCAGCTGAGCCTCTGGAGCAGGGTGTCCTCGCACCCAGTCAGTCGGAGACAGTGCCCAGGCCTGCTGTCTAGACTCAGCCGCAGCCCCTCACCCTGCCCCCACCTCAAGTACCCAGTTTGGACAGTAAATACAGGGTCACCCTGGGCACGATGCATGAGCCAGACTCCCCCCACACACACGCACATGCAACCACCAAATTCACATGACTACATGCCAAGCACAGAACCCTGTTATAAAGTGATTTTATTAAATTGATTTGGACATACTGTAGGTCAAATAATATTTTCTGAAGATAACAATTATGGACTTTAAAGCTCGACATAAAATTAGTAGCTTCAAAAGTGTTAGTCATATTCCCCAGCAACAGCATGATAAAATAATTCAACTATGTAGAAATATAGAACTCTAGGACTAGCTGGAAACTCGGAAATCCTTTAGCCTAATGTCCTCATCTGCTGAGAAAACTAGACTCAAAAACAAGTGATTTGCCCAAGCTCACATATCTAACAGTAATAAAGCTAGAAATCAAACCAGGTTTTCCTAAAACTAAAATTCTATCAATGGTATTTCAACTGGCTCTCTAGCAACTAAGTCTAGGCTTTTCTCTACTGCGCCACGCTAGTGTGACACCAACGCGTGGCAGGGCACCGCAGGACACCGTACACGGCTGTGGAGTTCAGGCCTGGAAGGGGCTTCAGCAAGTAATCAGGCCAGCCCTCCCCGGGGCGGGGGGGGGGGCAAGCCTGTCAAGTGACTCAGCAACGGCCTGCCAGCGATCACCTGCAGGAATCCAGACCCTGCCAATCTCCCCAAAGCCCGTCTCGAGGCTCACGGCCCACCCACTAAATGATGTGCACCTTTCGAGTCGTCTTTAGGTGTGGAAGTTTTTGCTGTCAGAAGCCCGTTCCAGTCAAACATTAGAAATCAGTTCGAACACCGCGAGAAGATCCAGCTTTGTTTCGGCATTTCCGTGACTATTCTGAGTAGTTTGTTTTCCAACGCTTAGACAGCTGACAGACACACTAACCTGATCACCTATTTCAGAGCTTCAAAGATCCTTAATTTCCCCAAAGACTTCCTGAGCAAAAGGACTACATGTGGGAAATCAATGAAAATAGGAATGAGAAGAGAAACAAAGTTAAAAATTGGTTGCTTTGTGTTGTCATTGGGGACTTTTGGTCTTCTAAACATTCCTTGAGTTCCTCCACATGAGTTTTTAATATCAATCTAGCAAAAAGAAAAAAAAAAAAAAAAAAAAAAGCCTACAAAGGTCAGGGTACCAAGCAACTCAGCACCCACCCCTCCCCGCTCACTACGTCCGGTGCCTGGCCTTCGCTGTCCCTCAACCGCACCGGCAGGGCCCCACGGCAGCATCCGGGCCCGCCCATGGGGCGTCCCAGCCCCTGGCCTCCACTCCCAAGCTGCCCTCGGAAAGGCCTTCCCTGACCACTAGCTAATGTTGCCCCCCACCCCGCCCCACCACTCTAAATCATCACCCTAGTTTATTCTCTTCATAGCACTTAATCACTACCTCACACTACATTATGTAATGGTTTACTTGCTTATCATCTGTCTCCTCCACCAGAAGCAAACTCCATGAGGGTAGGGCCTGGCCTTCCTCGTTCAGTGGTGTTCCCAGCACCTAGGACAGTGCCTGGCACACAGCAGGTGTTCAATAAATACTCCTCGAATGAATGAAGAAAGAAAAGAACGATGAACGACAACAATCATGCCTACACAGGGCCTGGGACGCCACACCTGGGGACGAACCAGGACTCCTACACGTACTGCCCAGGGCTGCAGGACACAGACCAAGTGGGACAGGGCCTCCTTCTACCCTGGCTTCTCGCAAGGGCTCTCCAGCTAGCAACGAGTGCCCCCATCACCAGGACCTGTGAGGGCAGTTCTGGATGGACGAAGTCCTCACTCTGCTTTGCTTTTTCCTGTTATTTACATTCAATTATTCCCAAAAAAATTCAAGTTACAAATATGTGATGCAGCCACTAGAAAATAAGTCTAAGAGAGACACAGTGAATAGCAGAATCCACAAAACTAAAAACAAAGTTCAAAAAAAGTTCGAGGGCATGTAAGTCTGCCAATGGCTTCTCTGACAGGCCAAGTGAATGGAGATTATGAGTCACCTAAAACCTAAAATGAGATCGAATGCCATCTAGGAAGGGGTGATATTTGTGGGTACTGTGAGAACACACAGGAAAGTGGGTTCAGAAATAATGGGCTACATGGAAAGACACGAAGGGGCTGGATCAAGTGGTAACCTCAGAAATACCAGACCACCTCTCAGTGGGAGCTGTCCATCCCAAACGCATTCACCAATATGCTTGAGTCGAGGGGAAGGAAGGTCATGAGTCCTAACAGGGTTAGGACTGGGTTGCCTGGAAGTGAAGCCCAGTGAGATGACTCGGGAGCTGGGCAGGGACGATGGTTGTTCGTGTAGTATTTCAACTACCGAGGCATTGGGCTGGAACCCCGGGCAACACACGTCCATGGTGGGCCCTGACAGTCTGTCCTGGGCGGACACTCAGAGGGATGCCAAGTGCGATGTCAAGTGCAGAACACACTTGTGTGTGCAAAACACCTGACGCGAATCGGAACATCAACCGCACGTACACCTCCTCAAAAGAGCAGTCTGCTGGGGACTGCTGCAGATATTTCTTGGGTCAATGCAGGTATTTACAGGGTTTCCTTCCTAGTGGCACTTATGGGTTTAAGATTTTAGCTGCTAGCAGAACACCTTATATAACTGATATCTTGAGATGGTTCCTCTCCTTCGTGTGCACCCTCTGGTGGATGCAGAGGCTCGTACTCTGGCTGAAGGCCTTCCCGCACTCGTCACATTTAAAAGGCTTCTCCCCGGTGTGCACCCTCTGGTGGATGCAGAGGCTGGAGCTCTGGCTGAAGGCCTTCCCACATCCACAACACCTATAGGGCTTCTCCCCCGTGTGCACCCTCTGGTGGATGCAGAGACTCGAGCTCTGGCTGAACGCCTTCCCACACTCGTAACATTTATAGGGCTTCTCTCCGGTGTGGACTCTCTGGTGCATGCAGAGGCTGGACGTGTGCCTGAAGGCCTTCCCACACTCTTCACATTTAAAGGGCTTCTCTCCGGTGTGGACTCTCTGGTGCATGCAGAGGTTCGAGCTGTTACTGAAGCCCCTCCCACACTCACTGCAGACGTAGGGCTTCTCACCCGTGTGAACTCTCATGTGGATCTGAAGATGGGAGCTCCAGTTGAAGGCTTTGCCGCACTCGTAGCACTTGTAGGGCTTCTCCACCGTGTGGATTTTCTTGTGTCTGTTCAGTTTCGTCGTAGTGCTAAAATCCTTCCCGCAATCGTCACATTTGTAGACCTTCTCTCCCGTGTGGTCTCGCCAGTGGATGTGAAGCTCCGAGATGTGGAAGAAGCCCTTATCGCACTTGTCGCATTTGTGGGGCTTCTCTGCCGTATGGACTTTCTGGTGCATAAAGAGATCTGCTCTCTCGGAGAAGAACTCCCTACACATGGGGCACTTATAGATCATGTTTCCTATTTGGTATCGTGATTCAGAGGGGAACACTTCTTACAGCGACTACAGGGAAGGACTGCTCTGTCATGACGTCTCTTACCTGGCCATCTCAGCAGTCTATCTCAGGCTCGCTCTGTTAGGCAAGTTCAAGGACAGCCTCAGCTTCTCCCTGCCTGTCTTTCTATGGAAGGTTTCTTCCTGCATAGTGTTTCTTACTCAGTCTTATTTCCGCTCATAAAGTGACGTGTACTTCCGCATGAATCCTGTAACTCATTAACACAGAATTTCCCGATAGATCCTGAGTTGCCAGCATTCCAAGGGGCTCCCAAGGTGCAAACCTTTGCAGTTTTAAGCCCTTGGGTCGTCCTCTTGTACAGTTAGCTTGCGTTCCTCACTTCAGAAGCAGGACCACTCAGTGCATCCCCGGGTTCATGGCAAGTCACTGCTGGCTGGACTTGCGGCTCGCAGCCTCTTCTGGCAGAGTCGGACGACACCCTGTCTCCTGCACGTGGGTGGGAGCCTCCCCCGGAAGCAGGCCCCACGGGCTCCAGGATGGGAGCCTTTCTTTTGGGAATCCCTCGTAGGCGTCACGCCGTCTCCTGTAACAGAAACGCATGTCGATAAATGGAAATGCCTTTTTTGTCCGGAAAACTGCTACTGATTCCTTAATTAATGTTGCCTAAACGCGACAACAGCAACACAAACCTTTTTTGATCTTGAGGAATAAGCTGTCTTATCCTCCAGAGCCGTGTCTCCCAGTATGTAGGTCTAAAGAAGAGAATGTGCAGATGTCAAGCTCCTGCTCAAGCCCGGCACATAACCCATCACCACCCCCTAACCGTGACTGCTAGGTGCCAGCGGGCATGGCACTGCCAGAGAACGGAGATCCTCCAAAGACCTACATGTGAACACGCAAGGCGGGTGTCCAGTGTCACGGAAAACCCCGTTCTGAGTTCCAGAGAGCACCAAACTGCTGCTGTTGGAGGTGAAATGCCACGTCTGCACTGCCTCCTGAGCTGCACGGAGGTTAAGTGTGCGGCACGTCTGTCTGCACTGCCTCCTCAGCTGCAGAGGTAAGTGTGAGACACGTCTGCGCTGCCTCCTCAGCTGTAGAGGTAAGTGTGAGGCACGTCTGCGCCGCCTCCTCAGCTGCAGAGGGAAGTGTGCGGCACGTCTGCACTCCCTCCTCAGCTGCAGAGGTAAGTGTGAGACACGTCTGCGCTGCCTCCTCAGCTGTAGAGGTAAGTGTGAGGCACGTCTGCGCCGCCTCCTCAGCTGCAGAGGGAAGTGTGCGGCACGTCTGCACTCCCTCCTCAGCTGCAGAGGTAAGTGTGAGACACGTCTGCGCTGCCTCCTCAGCTGTAGAGGTAAGTGTGAGGCACGTCTGCGCCGCCTCCTCAGCTGCAGAGGGAAGTGTGCGGCACGTCTGCACTCCCTCCTCAGCTGCAGAGGTAAGTGTGAGACACGTCTGCGCTGCCTCCTCAGCTGTAGAGGTAAGTGTGAGGCACGTCTGCGCCGCCTCCTCAGCTGCAGAGGGAAGTGTGCGGCACGTCTGCACTCCCTCCTCAGCTGCAGAGGTAAGTGTGAGACACGTCTGCGCTGCCTCCTCAGCTGTAGAGGTAAGTGTGAGGCACGTCTGCGCCGCCTCCTCAGCTGCAGAGGGAAGTGTGCGGCACGTCTGCACTCCCTCCTCAGCTGCAGAGGTAAGTGTGAGACACGTCTGCGCTGCCTCCTCAGCTGTAGAGGTAAGTGTGAGGCACGTCTGCGCCGCCTCCTCAGCTGCAGAGGGAAGTGTGCGGCACGTCTGCACTCCCTCCTCAGCTGCAGAGGTAAGTGTGAGACACGTCTGCGCTGCCTCCTCAGCTGTAGAGGTAAGTGTGAGGCACGTCTGCGCCGCCTCCTCAGCTGCAGAGGGAAGTGTGCGGCACGTCTGCACTCCCTCCTCAGCTGCAGAGGTAAGTGTGAGACACGTCTGCGCTGCCTCCTCAGCTGTAGAGGTAAGTGTGAGGCACGTCTGCGCCGCCTCCTCAGCTGCAGAGGGAAGTGTGCGGCACGTCTGCACTCCCTCCTCAGCTGCAGAGGTAAGTGTGAGACACGTCTGCGCTGCCTCCTCAGCTGTAGAGGTAAGTGTGAGGCACGTCTGCGCCGCCTCCTCAGCTGCAGAGGGAAGTGTGCGGCACGTCTGCACTCCCTCCTCAGCTGCAGAGGTAAGTGTGAGACACGTCTGCGCTGCCTCCTGAGCTGCACAGAGGTAAGTGTGCGGCACGTCTGCACTGCCTCCTCAGCTGCAGAGGTAAGTGTGCGGCACATCTGCGCTGCCTCCTCAGCTGCACAGAGGTAAGTATGCGGCACGTCTGCACTGCCTGCTCAGCTGCACAGAGGTAAGTGTGAGGCACGTCTGCACTGCCTCCTGAGCTGCACAGAGGTAAGTGTGCGGCACGTCTGCACTGCCTCCTCAGCTGCACAGAGGTAAGTGTGTGGCATGTCGGCGTCAAAAGCTACTCCCTCGTGTACGTGTCCTCACTGACTCCTGAGGAGTTCTACCTAAAATGCAGGCCCTGCGTGACCGTGCCCCGTGTGCCCTGCTCTCCCACCCGGCTTCCCGCACTGCCCACAACTGGCTTTCTTGTTCCGTTCTCTAACACCCGACCTGTTTCCTGTCCCAGGCCTTGGGACTGCTGCGCCCAGTGCTTGAACCCTCCTCTCCACGACTCTGGGCATGGCTCTGTGTGTCAGCCGCCCCACCCCCAGAGAAAGCCCCCTGGTTAGACTCTATTCTAATCCCCCCTGAGGCCTTCAAAGCACTTCTAAACTTGTAATGATCTTACCTGTTCCCTGGTTCTGGACCGTCTCCCTGCCAGATGTGAGGAGGGGCTTTCTGCCCTGCCCCTGTGACATGCTGGCAAGAGCAAGCTGCTCAGTTAGGGCCTGCTGAGGGAACCTACAGACTACTAACTAGTACTAACTAATCGGATCACCTACAGGAGAAGAGGGGACAAGAGAAAAGGTAACAGAGGTGTCTCCTTGTTATGTAGCTTTGACTTCGGAAACACAGAAGTCTTTATACGTACAAAAAAAAAAAAAAAATCAAGGAAAAATAAAAACTCCCTAAAACTGAAAAGAAAGAAAAGTAACCACACCTATCACTGGGACATAGTCACAAACACACGTGGGCTCCGAAGGACAGGTAACACGCGTGGGCTCCGAAGGACAGGTAACACGCGCGTGGGCTCCGAAGGACAGGTAACACGCGGGCTCCGAAGGACAGGGACCACACGCG